ACTGTCAGTTTTTATATACCTTTTTCCTGTTCTTTAATCTTTTGAATTAAGACCCATTCAGAGATGAAAAAACCCCAAAACCAAAAAGCCTAATTCCTGTAATTGTACTAGAGATAGTAAATACCCTCTTGCCTCTAGAAAATCAGCAGTGCCTGGTACTACACAGGTGTTTTTCTTCTAGACTAATGAATATCCTCCTTGAGGAGCAGCTGGTGATGAGTGGCAAGCAAGAGGGTGGACTATAGCTCAGCTCTTTCCTTTGAATGGGAAGGAAAAATCCTATCATGTAGTGCCAGTTGTGTCTAGTTAGTTTTATGTTAGTGCAATTGCACAATTGCAGGTTAATGGAGGGATATTTTTTATAATTTTTTGTTGTTTTTTCTTTTATTTATGCTCACAGAACTTGTGGGTAAATGTGGCAGCTGAAGAAAATATGGGCGTAAGTATACTGAGTTGACAGGGTACGAGAAATCTGTGTAATCATAAGGGGGAGGAAGCTCATTTCAGAAGTAAAATGCCCCTGCTGCAGAACTTTTGCCTTCCAGTTGTCTTTGTGTCTCTGGAGTGTTGTAGTCTTGTTCAAAAGAGAGCAAGAGTTTGGTTAAAGGTTTCTCTAAAAGTGCGACAAATACAACCTGCATTTATCTCAGGTTTGGAAGAGGAGAAACTTTTATGCAATGCACAGATTGATTTGCAAGACCTTAAGGTTTTCAGCTTTGCCTAACCTTTGCTAACATGCTGCAGCAGTCTGTTCTTTGAACATGTTGATCCTCTTAGGTCTGTAAGAGCCTTTGAGACAGTTAATTTTTCCAGTGCTGACTATAGAGGCTTCTGATTTTAGATCTGAATGTCCCTTTTTCAACCCTGCTACCACTGACCCACTGCATAGTAATCTCACATTATAAAGTGGTTATTCACAGAGGGCTTTGACCAATGCTATCTGGAGGGTGGGAGATGCTTTCCTGGCAGTGGGATGCGAACACTGTGAGGCAGCTCCTCAGCCAGGATAAAAATCATGCTTGGTCACTGCAACTCAATGGATGTCTGTTAATTCATCTGGAAAATTCACGACCCTGGTGAGATCATGAAGTTCAGTGTCCTTAACTGAGTGCAATACTTTGGAGTCAAGATTAAAATGTCTTTCTTCCTACAATACCCCTGAATTTTGATTTTTCTGTAAGTCCTTTTATATTGTTTTGTACTAAAAATGGCGGTATTCTCCAAGGAACCTTTGAGGAACATTGCGTGTGTTCTTCCTTTCTCTTTTATTAGGTTACAGCATTTTCATATGAGTAGGAATATTGAGCCCTGAAAGCTCACCTAGATCCTGTGCTCATAGGCTGTGTTTCTTGTGTGCAGAGGTTAAACTCCACTGATGCTGGTATGGCCATTGCCATAGCCACTTTGTTTGCTGTTTGCTTATTTTATTTGTTTTTTTTTCTAGAAGACCCTCGGTCTTTTATTTTTTTATATAGTTACATCAAGATTTTAAAGAACCTGTCTTAGCTGAAGGAGTCACTCCAACAGCCATGTCTGGAGAACAGTCTAAATGGGATGATTTGCCTGTGAAGGATGTGCTTTGGGCACTTTCCTCTTGTGTTTTGGTGAGGAATTGAAAGGTGGAATTGCCTTGTGCTGGAATGAGTCTTCTAAGCAGCAGATATACAGGGCTCTTTTGCATTGCTGCAGTGCAGCTAAACACTCTTCATGCGGTGCAGCTTTCCTCTGCTCCTTTTGAAAACAAGCATGGTGTTGGGAAGGATAAATTATCTGCACTTTGTGTTCAACCTAGCACAAAATTTTTTGTTTCTACAAGAATATTTGTCTTCTCTTTGGGGCATCGGGCTGCAATTAATACTGTAGTTGTTGTACACCTCAGGAGGCAAAGGTGATTTACTGGAGTTTAAAAAAACCCAACAAAAACCCAACACAACAAAAAAGAAAACAGAACGTAAGATGCTGTTAAAGAGATCATTAACCTGGCAACAGTAGTGACTTGGTTACACAGAAATTGGGTAATGTATATGAAGCTTTACTACTGCACCAAAATGTCTGTTTTCAGCTAGCAAATAAGCCCTTTATCCATCAGTCAAATGTGTCAGCTGAGGATCTCCTTCTTCCTTTATAATCCTGAGTCCCAATCCCAGCAACACTGGAGGCAAAACTGCTAATGGTGTAGGTGATGGCAGGTGTGCAGTCCCATGAGGCTCCTTGAATCCTGACTCATTAACACCTGGATTACTTCACCCTTGAATCCAGTCATCCGTACCAGAGCATGGACATGTTTCACAGCTTTGCCATTTTTGATTGACTCTGTTATTTATATATGCATCTCTCTTTTTAATTTTATTTTGGTTTTTAATATATTGCACAGATGAATGCACATGTATCTCAGAGAGCTTTCCCCTCTTCCCAGACAAATTCTCACCATTCCTTCTACTGGAATGCTGGGCAAAGTTTTCTTTAACACTGTGGATTTTATCACCTTGAAATCTAAATAATTAAAAAACCAAAAGAAGTGTTCTCAGGATGCAAGGTGGCCCTTGAACGCCTCAGTCAAGTGTTGTGTTTGGGCAGTGAATTTTTCCTTTATTTTTTACATTATCTTCTTCCACTTGATACTTTTTTTTCAAGTCCATCTAAAAGATGAAATGGACTGTTGAGGAGGAAATGTGAAAGCTGGTGGTACACAAAATGCTGTCAAATGCAGAAAGCAAGCAAATGGACAGAGGTTTAGTATTTCCCTGCTCAACCCTTTCAATCTCTTTTGCTAATAATGACTTTCCTTATTATAAAAGCAATTGCAGATGTACTCAACAGCAGAAAAGCGTAACTTTAGAAATGTGATTATTCAGTGTGTGAGTAAAAAAAGGTCTGTCACCTTTCATGGAAAGATTCAGCTCACAAATTATATCTATTTGGAGTTCAATGTTGAAAAGGTGTTGGGAGCATGTCACAGCCACTTGCAGTGTGCATTATAAATAGTTATAGGTTTATTGATAAAAAGATGTGTGGGTGGTTGTTCATAAACAATCTATTGCCCTATTGGACCTCAGAAAAGACAATTAGAAAAAAAGGCATCTGTTCTTCCAGTGTCAGCACTATCTTTCATCTGTGGTGCAGGACGCTGCTCAGCAGTGACCAGGTCTTCCCTGCTCAGCTGTGGGCTTCGTGTTGTGATGAAAAGCACCTGTCATCGGGAGGGAAACCTGCCCTCTGCTATACACAGGTGAAAGGTTCTGTCTGTGGTGAAAACCAATCCCTCATGTGGCACTGTCTCGCCACTGTGGCATTTCCCCCCCACTGCCATCTCAGCAAGTGACATGGGACATCTGATGAGGCCATCTCCTCTGCTTGTGCTGCCTCTGTCTCACCATCAAGTCTCTGTCCTGGGTTGAACCAAGAACCTGAAAACTCAGATCTGTCTGTAGCTGTAAGCCCATCAAATATAAAACCCTGTACTTACCTGAGAGCCCTTTGTGTCATTAGCAGGTTACTTAGAGCCAAGGAGTTTAGTTGTAGGCACAGAACTACCCTTTTCCCAAATGTGTCCCCAGAGCATGGATTCTGCAGTGTGATTCTGCTCTCTAGATCTTCCTCCTTTTCACGTGCAAGAAGCTGTAGTTCCAAGTCAATGCAACCCTGCTGTCCCTCCTAGTTTACCTTTTATGATATGTTTTCTCATTTGTGCTATTTTGATCTTCTCCAGCAGAAGGTGTGGTAGCCCTTTTGTGGAGTGCTGCAGAAGTAGCCTTGGGCCCCGCTTGGTATTGTCTTTTTTCTGTTGGACTAAAAATGAGAGTTACATTGCTGCATTGCAGACACATCTCTTGGTCAGTGAACAGAGCTTCTTGAAACCAGCAGGCTATACTGTATGTTCAAGCTTCCTAGATTCCATTAACATTTTGTTAATGAAATAGTGCTTTGTCAAAGAGTCTTGAAAACTTAAAAGGGTATTTAAGCTTCTTCCATGAGTCAGTGCAATGTAATGTCAACATTACCACGAAGGGATAATTCAGAGATGTCACACAAAGCATGTGTTATGCCATTTGCAGTCTAGCAAAACAGCTCAGCATTTATGTTGTTTAATCCATTTTCAAAAATCTCTTGTTCTGAAAAAGTTTGGAATCAATCTTGTCAGCATTTACTGACACAAAGCTGATGTAAGTCGCTGTGCTCCTATTGACTTAGAAGTTGTAACAATTTACTCCAGCCTCAAATAGAGCCCAAATTAGGCATATGAAAAACTTGATATCAAACTTTCAAAGACTATAGAGGTGAATGGCACATCATGCAAGTGAAAATGTGAACAGAAGTAGAGTGAAATTAATAGCTTGCAATGATCTGGGATGGTGCAGACATACTTTGAAGACACTTAAAGAGATGCAACATTACATAAAACTCTGCATTTATGAAATAATGTAATTTTCAGGTAGAAATAAACAGGAAATACAGAAATAGAGAGTTCAGATCTGAGGTCTGGCAATGAGGTTGGGGACACAGGGGCTAATATCCAAAATGTATGTGCTGCAGTGTCCTGGGTTTATGTCATTGTCACAGTGAGTTTGGTCAAGGTACATGAATTTCCTGCTTCCATTCCTTCCTTCCTTTTTTTAGTAACTCTGTAATTGTACCTACCATGTAAGGAATTTGTTTTATCCTACTGGACATTGCCGTAATGTTGTTTGTTTTACCTTTGTAGTTTTTAATCCTTTTCCATTAAAGCTCTCTATGATTGATGTAGTTGAATGTAATGAAAGGTAGCCTTAGCTTCCTTTGAAGAAAACAGACTGCCTTACTTCATACTTGGCTTGATCCAAAATGCTTTCCCATGTTCATTACTTAGCTGTGCTAAATCTATTTCAGTTTTGGACTTCCCAGATATCTGGGATTAACCCTGCAATATGTAAATTGATGTGAAGTTCTTCAAAAGTAGTTAACATATTTTGGTGGCAAAGGTTTGTATTTCACTCACATTCAGTGTTTTTCTTTCAAACCAGGCATTGTGGAGACAGGCAGCACCACAGACTGCTTGAGCAGCTCAGCAGGAGAAGAGCCAGCACTGCACCAACGATGTGAGTGAGTGGGGAAAAATAGTCCTAATGTTGTGTTACTGCTGGTGGGTCAGGCACGCTGAGGTAATTTGCAGGTTCTTTCTGAGCAAGGGATACTTTCTGGCTTGATTGGACACAGCAGGAAGAAAAATAGTATGAGTCTCTTCATCTGTGCTGTTTTACAACTAGGAAACATACAGGGTATAAACCAATTGCTCTTTCTGTGAAGACCTGTGAAGGGCTTGCAGCCTCGTTGCTCCAGGTGAGGTCACTGCAAGAGCAATGAAAGTGAGAAGAGAACATGGGAAAAAGAAGGCACCTTGCAAATACAGGCTGAAAACAAGTTGTATAGCATAGTGTGTGTTCTTGCTGCTTTACATTATGAAAGGGCCTCAGAATGGTTAGCTCTTCCTGAGAGACACCTCGTAGCAAATGATGCTATATGTGAGTACATGTAGTACATGCATAATTTTACAACTCAATTAAATTTTGTCATTATCTCCCAGATCACAGTATATTTGATCATGTTCTTTAATAATACATTTGCTAAGGAGGAAGATTTGAAAAACCACATACACGTAAGAAGCAGAATCATGTCTAAAGTTTGATCCATCTTGGCCTGCTGTTATAAACAAAGCTTGGAGTAAGCAAGCAGAATCTGAAATACCATTGCAGCAAAACAAAGCAGGGGGCAGTGGAGGAAATGTTTAAATTGAGTTTAAAAGAAAAACAAAAACAGGTACTTCTAATAAAACCAGAAATTTATGCAGGAGTAATGTAACTGCGTAAGTGAAGCACCATTCAGACAAAGAGTGTCCCAAAGGTTTTACAGCTCTTAATAAGACAACTACAATATAAATAAGAGGAGCCTGAGGAAGCAGTGTAGAATGCTGTACATTTTAACCTACTATTTTAAAAGAGAAAAAAACCAAGTCCTTGAAGACAGTAGATGGTAGAAACTGTGTAAAGAGATGGGGTTTATATCTGCAGCACTGAATGTTTGAAGGAAGAGGAAGGTGGCTGGCTTCAGGTGTGTGATGGCAATTGGAGCAGGGATAGACCCTGCTAACTCAGGGCAATGGGATTAAATCTTGTAGATGCAACTGCCTTTCTCAGTTGCAAATATGAGACTTCCTTGCAGACCCAGAGCTGCTTGCATCTTATTAAAAAAAAAACAGGCATTACAAAGATTTAATCTAAACTATTAACAAAAAAAAAAAAAAAAAAAGTTGGGTGCCTGATACAAATCCTTCACACATAATCTGCAAGATTTATTCTTCTGCTTCACTTAAAAATCCACTTTGGATTTCCTTAACATCATCAGTGATGTTAAACATCAGTTGATCTGCTTGATGTGAACCTGCATCACTCCTTGTCTCACTTCTCCATGTATAAAATGAGAACAACACTTTCCTCCTTTTCTGTCCTTCCCATGTAAATGATAAATTCTGGGGAAAGCAGTTCTGTATCACTCGGTATTTAGACAGCACCCGTCCTGGCAGAACCCTTATGTTACCCAGGGGCTTCCAGGTCCAACAACAAAACAGGTAATTGTAATTTCTGAACCAAGCAGAATATTTCCTTGTATGACATTAGGTAATTAGAAGAACTCAGTGGTTTTACCACTCTATCACATATTAAGCAACTGCTTATTCTACTTTCCTTGTTTCAGGTGGTTTGACCAGAGGTCTGTGGTGGTCCAGCTCACTGGAAACTTTTGTGCTTAAACCAGGAGGATGCTATAAATGGAGCTAATCTGTAAGTTTTCTGGAGGCTATTATGTCTCCTACAGTTTTGGTTGTTTGTTTTTTGTTGGTTTGTTTGGTTTTTATCCCTAAAGGAGACATGGCTCTGTATGTGTCTGTGTGTGAGGGAGAGAGAGAAAGAGCATTGCCTAGAGGGTTTCAGTTATCACACTGTCTAAATATCCCTTATTTTTAGTAGGAGTCTTCTGAATATGAGATCCCACTACAGGTAGGTGAAGTGACCTCTTCGGTTTTGAATCTGCTCTTCTCTGGCAGATGCAAGGCTGCAGCTTTGAACAGACACCCCCTTCTGCTCCATGCAAAGCTCTTTGAATTGCCCCTGATACGCTTCTAAGGCTCCCTGGTTGTATGTGAGGCACTTTGAAGATGAATGCCCCAGCATAAGGAAAACATGAAACAAAACTTACTCCCTTATGTCAGAGTGTGCAGATTTCTCAAAGATCTTCAGTACAATGGTTGTTCTTTGGTGGGTGAGAGGAAATAGGCTGGTTCACCAGCTTGTAAAAGCAGAACAAAATTTCAGAGGGCTATCCATTGGGTGGTAAATCATGCAAAATAAAGGCATCTGGGGGTCTCCACAATATTGCGGTCTTGCAAAACTTATTTCAAGTTGACTTCATTGGATCTTACTTGATGATGACAAATTTATTATTAGAAATTATTCTTCCCCCTTAAGTTTGCTATAGTTTCAAGTCAACAGATATGCCACGTCCTCTTGAGGGGGAATAGTTTTCTCTGTCTCCATGAAAATCATCACAGCCCAACACCTTAAGGTATATGGAGCCTTCATAATTTTCTAGTATAATTTGGACGTGTCCTAGAAGCTGAAGGACCCGTGTGTCCTTAGGACAGTGGTAGAATGGTAGGAAGTTTTCTCTGCCATATTCTGAAAATTTCTGTGATTATTGACATGAAACTGCCTGTTTAATGTGGTTTGTAAACCTGATGGATCAGTTTTTCTGGCCAAGGTGAGAGGTCATCTATGGTCCAAAAGTTTCTATTACCATCAGATGAATGAACTCATTTTCTTGAGGGATTAATGGGCTTCTAATGTAAAAAAAATGAACTGATGTCCCAGAAGAGACTTAGTGAAGAAACAGAGGGAAGAGGGACAGTAGAAGAGGGTTCCTCTAAAAAAAAAAGAAATTGGTTAATAGAGATTGGTGTTATTCTTCTCACCTCTTTTGGATAACTACTACAATGCAGATGTGTGAACTCCCTGTAAAGTAAATGAGTTTTACTTTACTGCGGAGTAGAAGCAGAACCCTCTGGGCCACAATTCTTATATGATAAATCCTTCTTCCTTCCAATCAATTAATTCCATCCTAAAAACATCTATTTCTCATCGTTGACTTTAAAGAGATTTTAGATGACTAGCTCAGATATAGCTGTCTACACAGTAAGTGATTAAAGTTGGGTTGGAGGTGCTGGCAGACTACATGCATTTTTTTTTTTCTTCCTTCATGCAAACCCTAAATCAAAAGGCATCTCATCAGAGTATTATAAAATGCAGTCTTCAGAGGGATAGTCTTCTACTTCCATATTCTGGCATCTGAAGGGAGGAGGGAGACACCCATCAATTTAGAGAGAGGTAAAGATTTCATCTCCCTCTAGAAATCATGGCTATAAATGGGAAATTCAGACATTTATGAGATTTGCTTAGCGAAGGCATAGCTGAGCATGTGGATATTTGTTTGTCTTCATAGTACTACAGCAAAAGCAGAATAAAAGACTATTTTATGGTTTCTTTTTGTTTTTTCCCCTCCTCTTTTTATTATGCTAATGAACCAATGTGTATCGGGGAGGGGGGGGGGAAGATACAGTCTGTGTGACCTTATAAACTGAAAACCTTACCAGCCCTCTCCCTGTTGTTGCAAAATAGAATAAACTGCAGATGTTTATCAATGGGAAACCTCCCAAAGGAGCATTTACCAGTTTACCAGAGGGGAATTCTCACAAAAACTCCATGTAAGCTGTGCCTGGTATATGTTTGAATATTAAGAATGGCTAAGGTTGCAAGTGATTTAAGGAAGTTTATGGTATTTGGTGACTATTTCCATTGGGTTTCAAAAGCTGGCAAACCTGACACGTACTATATTTTTTCTCTAATTTTTTTTTCTTTTAAATCAATATAAATTTCAAGAATGAGAGAGCAAAGCAAAGGATGACTTACTCTAGTTTTAAATCAGAAAGTGACTCACTGTGACACTGCCTGTATTTGTTTCCTCTAAACGCTAGTTTCTTGACATAATGGGTAAAGTATCAAATTATTATTTAAACACACAAATAAAGCAAGCGCCTCTTTTCCTATCTGTAAGTAACGTTCTTCTCCCAGATGATAGTCATGGCTGTATTTTTTCCTAATTGAATCTGCATATCCTTTCCTCTGATAGTCCAGTGATGAATATTGATAGTTGCAATGATTGCCTCTTTATTGGTATTTGTGTTTTCTCTGGGATGCTTCAACTTTTTGCAGTAAATACTTTTCAAGTCTTACTACTTCTATAGTCTGGTACTTAGAGAAGTTGATGATTCTGGTGGAACTGTAGGACTGTGAACAAGACTCAGCATTTTGATTTGTTGTGCAGGTCATGTATTGGTAGCTGGTATCTCCTTTTATCTTTTCTGGTAGAAATATATTCAGTTGTTACTGATTATATTTAGCAAGCAAACTAAATATTCCTCCTCTATCTGTTTTCTTCTATTTGTCCCTAGCTTGAAGGGTTAGTGGCACTCAATGGTGGATAAATGCAAGAAAATCTAATAATGGCCTTCTAATATACCCATTTATTTGGCATCATATTTTATTTTAACTCTTAATGCAACTGTACAATCATTGCTCTGTTGCTATAATTGGATTTTGAAGTATATTTGTACTATTTAACTACATCTATAGCATTTCCATAAGCTTATTCACTGTAATTAGTAATCTTATAATTTTTAGTGAAATAATATTTTACATCAACTGCTCATTTTTCTCTTCAAATTCTTCAACACATTTGCACCAATTTTGCTTTTTACACTGGAATTTCTGGCATAAATAATCATTAAGGGTTTGTGTTTTTTTTTTTCCCCACTGTGAATGAGAACAGTTTAATCCAGCTTTTATTGAAGTCAATGGTAATCTTTTCATTTACTTCAGTGGAAACTGGATCAAGCTAATAGGTTGCAAATTGCGTTCAAGGCAAAGTCACATCTTATCACAGAAATCATTGTGTAGCAAAGCATGGTGTATTGATGGAAGGTTCAAAATAGCTGATTGTTTCCAGATTTTCTTGCCAGATAACGTGTAGATTCTCATATCCAACTTTATTAGTT